AGTAGTGGTAGTAGTGTGTGTGTGTGTAGTAGTAGTAGTAGTAGTAGTAGTAGTAGTAGTAGTAGTAGTAGTAGCAGTAGCAGTAGCAGTAGCAGTAGTAGTAGTAGGAGCAGCAGCAGGGGGGGTGAGGGGCATGATGACGTACCTTTTAAGAGCACATCCATTTTACTTGGTATCTACAGTACTTTCGTGATGTTATACCAACGATGATGATGACGGGTTTAGGCGCCAGGGGTAGCTAGCAGTAGTAGAGGGAGAAGGAGTAGGAGTGGGAGCAGAAGGAGGAGTAGTCGGAGCAGGCAGCAGCGCCAAGCGGCAGCAGCAGAAGCAAAAATGGCGACAGCTATGCAGCCAAGTGTTCCAGCGCCCTCCGCCACTGTTCTGATCGACGAATTCTAAAACAATAAACAGCACCAGCGATAAACCTACTTGTAGAGCTGGCGCCATAAATTAGACCCCTTATGTGTGACCCCCCACAAAACATCGCTTTCTAGAGGCACTGCTTTCACAGTTAAGTCTGCATAATATTCATCATCATCATCATCATCATCATCAGGATAAGGAGGGAAGCAGAGGACTTCACTGCAAACTGCTGTAAGCTTATCCGTTCATGTTTGGCTGTGGCTCGAGTCAGCTGGGAGGCATGCTGTACACAGCCCCCAGGGGAGATTCGGACTTCGATAGGAACCTTCTGGCACTTTACAAGAGAAGCCCAGGTGTGGCACATCGGCCCACCCTGTACATGGCAGCTCAGATTAGCCGAAGCAAAGCCGGTTCAGATTTTCCGGCTTTCCGTCCGGTCCGTCTGCCCATAATTAAGCAAAAACGGTTTCCCATCTGGGAGTTAAGCTGTGCAAAATGCTGCTACTTCTTGCACGCACACATCCAATGAATTATACATCTCACAAAGCTTCAAGGTTTGCTTTCCGTGTTCAACGAGGCATCGCGAGAACTCTTTAGCAACCGCCCAGGGCCATCGAAACCACACTTTCGGCCAGCCGCGGCGCGCCTCCCGCGAGCTCCAAGCGGGCACACTGCACTGCCTGTCGGTATCCGCCACTCTCATCGCAGACCCGGCGCAAAGCCTCCGCCAAAGCAGTGCTGGTGACTGTCTCCATGGGCTTGAAGAAAGCTTGGCCCCAGCCTCTCTGCCCCACTTTGAAGGCGTTCGCGGGCTGGTCGACTGCCTGTGGGATGGCCACCAGGGGCACTCCTGCCATGAGGCTCTCCTGGAGGCTGTTGAAGCCGACGTGAGAGATAAAGGCGGATGCGTAGTTGTTCAACATTTCCACTTGTGGCACAAAGCCACGGATCAGGACGTTGCTAGGTACGAGCTCATCGATCTCTGCCTCGCTGCTACCGAGGAAGTCCAGGGCATCCGGCTGCTTCCCCACCGAGAGAACACAAAAGAAGTCATCCCCAAGCTCCTCCATGGCAGCGAGGAGAGCTTTCCACACATGCTGGCAGAAGGCTTTGCCAGTGGTTCCGTAAGGAAGGTTGGCCGCACTGATGCGGCCAAGGTCAATGCTCCACCGGTCTGAAAGCGCCATGGTGCCCAGGGCGGCATAGATGATCTTCCTGCCCTTGGCCACCTGATCCGAGAGCTCTGCCACGGGCAAGGAGTGGCCGAAACTCTTCACGCGCGGGATGAAGCTGTCTGACCGTGCTGTGATCACATGTGGCGCAGAGCTGCTAACGAGGCAACCGACGGCTGAAAAGCTGAACTCCCTGCGCAGCTCATCCGCCCAGTTCCGCTCTCCCAAAGCTGGCAGCTCAGCGATCAAGTCCTCACAAGTGGTGACAAAATTAGCTTTCGTGTAGAACTGCCGGCGAGTGAGGAGGTCGCAGGACAAGTCCACGCCGAACTTCTCCTGGATAGCCTTCCCGTAAGGCCTTCGGATAGTGGCCGCGCGCTCCAGCCGCCCTTCAGCTTCCAAGGACGACATCAAGCCGGAAAGGCTGCCCATACCAGGGTAGGTGACCAAGGAAGCACATTGGATGCCAAGCTTCGTGGCTGCCAAAAGCCCAAGAGGCAGGAAGGGGTCGTAGAGAACCACGCTGACTCCCAGCTGTCGGCACCGCTCTATGACGTGCTCCCCACACAGGAGGGCCTGGGCAAGGGGCCAAACCGATCTCTCGAATTCTGCACGGTCATCTTCCAGAATCTCCGGCACAATGTGAATCAAAGGCTCGTCAATGCCACATTTCTCCATCACGAAGTCTGATGGATCCTCAGGGAGGTAGCCTTCCACGACTGCCCCGGATTCGATGGCAGCAGCACGGATCGGTGCAACGGGCGGCAAGAAGTAGTGCACCTTGCAGCCACGCCTGCGGAGCTCCTGGACCAGGGCGAAGGTAGGGTTCACGTGCCCGATCATCGCCACATTGAAGATGGCTATCGTCGGGCCCTCCACTGTGATCTGCTGCTCCATCGGCTGGATCATTGGTGCCATGATCCGGAGGCCCAAAGCGAAAGTCTGTGGCGAAAGCTTGGTGAGCTGTGGCTTGGGCCATCGCCGTTGTGGTTCTGGACTGGCCTCTGAACCCTGAACTTCAAGACTGACCCGCCTGCAAGCCATGCTTTTCTGCGCCATGGATACCCAGGTTCGTTGGGGCGGACGGAATTCTGTAGTATACTTTCCGTGTCTGCACTTCTTCAGCCTTTAGCAACATCCGTCATCCATCTGACTTGTACAAATCCATAGAAACTCAAGCCTTGATTTATGAACTCATCAATCGTCACCGACCTGCTGTACCGTGGACCGTGGACCTTCTACCGATTCTACCTGGTTTCAACGTGAAGTTTCTCTTCATGGCTTGGAATCCTTCAAAGTAACGACCCCCACGCTGTTCTGCCTCGTCACAACATGCTATGGGTAATCGTACGTACTTGGCACTGCATGTACCTCATCAAAGGACCCTACTGCACAAAGTACCGGGGAACCTTCAGGTACCCTTAGATTCTAAGAGCCCTCGAGGACACTCTTCCACTTGGCAAGTGTTCGCCTGGAACGCGTCGGAGAACCGCTGGTAAAGCTCCTGGGCCTCCTGCAGGTACCTCGTGACAATACATACATACATACATACATTACATTACATTACATTACATTACATTACATTACATTACATTACATTAAATACATTA